CCACAAAACTGAGCATTTTGTCAACCTCCATTCTGTGTGCTTCAGGGAGGATACCATGGTCTTGAAGTTCTTGGATTGAGATATGCAGCCATTCCACTGCTGCACAGAGATTGTCATCATTTGCATAGTCTTCAGGCGGTGCTGCAGGTTCCTCAGTTGGTAGAAGGCAGCCATCCAGACCACAAGGAGAGACAATCTGAGTGTGACACCAGCAGTTGGCAATTGTTTTAACTGTGACTTCCTCCCAGGCTATCTGTGCCAACCCCATTGCTTCCTTCTGCTTGATGCAATAGATATCTAGCACACTTGCCATTTCCTGATCCAGTGCTCACTCACAGTGTGCTCACTTATAGTTTGCTTTGAAGTTTCGAATGATACCTGCATCCATTGGTTGAATATGTGCAGTCATGTTGGGGGCAAGGAATTTGACTTGGACATTTGTGACAGTTGCTGGATCCCACATGTGCCCCTTGTGGTTGTTGACAAGAAGAAGGATCTTCTGGTTCTGTTGTCACATTTGGCAGTCAAGGACTGTAATGTAGAGCTGGAAAATCACTCCAGTCATCCATGCCTTCTTGTTGAAATGATAATCAAAGCCGAGGGATTGTGGTGTCTTGTGCTGAAAGCAGTGAGGCTGTTTGGAATGACTGATAACCAATGGCTTAAGCCGCTCACTGCCATCTGCATTTGTTGTCAACATGTAAGACATGTGAGTCTTATCACCCTTCCTGCCAGAGCAGGCCATTGTAGCAAGGGTGTGGTTTGGTGGCATTTGATAGAAGAGACCAGTCTCATCACCATTGAAGATGTCTTGAAGGGCATACTGATTGGTAATCTTCCTCAGATGCAACACCTCCTCCTCAGCATCAACCAATGCAGCTTCCCCCTGTAGCTGTACCCCTCTCAATCCCAGCCATCCCTTTACCCCCTGAACCCAACCATTCAAGAGCAACAAGAACTTCTCCTTCAGAATCCCCTGCATGTCCGCAAACTGTCTTGCCTTGATTTTCAAGATGTTCTCAGTTATTGCAATACCCTTCTGCTGTGCTTGTTCAACCCATTCTTTCAGTGCTGCCTCAACAATTGGATGCTCAACAGTCCGTGGTTGCTTAAAGGAGGCAGTTGTGGCATTGCTTGCCTTCTCACAGATGCCAGCTTCATCATGCAGCCAGGCAGAGAGCATGCTCTGGGAGATGGTTGGATATCCTTCTTTCTTGAGCCCTTCAACAGCTTCACATTGTGACCATCCTTTTGCTTGGATCTTCTCAATAGCAGCCAGTTTCTCAGCATATGTGTAATTCTGATGCTTTTGGGCAGGCATGATGGGCAAATAGAGATGAAGGGTTCAGGGTCAACATGTCACCCTAGGATTTTCTTCCCCCCAGACAGCAATCACACCTATGAAAAACTGTCCCAGACCAGTGATCATTATCATTATCCTGGGTGATCCTTAACTGGTCACTTTTCCCTATCTACGGAGTCCGTTCCACCTCAACCTCATCCTTAACCCCAAGGAATCATTATTGTGCCAGATTGTTATGGGCAGGGATTACTGTATTTCTGCAGAGGCTCTGCAAAGGATCCTAATGGAAGCTAAACATTTTATTTCCGTGCACAGCCGCCGGCCAAAGCGGCCAAATGGCCGCGTGCCGCCCAGGATTCGTACTTTCTGGTGGGCAAGAAGTGGAGTGGATAAGGGATCCCCACTGGCCGAAGCCATCGGCTGATCACGATATGCCGACTGCCTCCGCATCTCTTCTGCGAATGAGCCAGCTGCACCCAGGCTAGCCCGACCAGCGAGGTTCGCGTATCTATCGGTCGTCCGTATTCCTCAGGCGTCCAGCCTTCCGCTTTCACTCACTCTGAGTCTCCGATATGGAGCTGCCTGACCATGCGACGATAGCTAATGTGTGGTTGGATGAAATAGATGTGGAGGGCGACGAGGTTGACACTCGGGATGAAGACATGGATGACGAGGAAGATGTAATGGAGGATGACTACGACGAAGACGGAGACTTTGATCCTGACGAAGAAGCCGACCTGCTCGCAGAAGAAGGCCTGATCAGCGAGTCAGAAATTGCAGATATTCGGGCCGATGCTGAAACGAGCAGAGTATTGGAAGGTAACATGTCGCAGCACAATGTCGTTCCGAATTCTGAGACTTTTGGCTTCAGAGATGGCCACGCAAGCAGAATTGACCAACGCTTCAGCGGAAAGCGTTGTCGCCCGAAGTCAAGCCTTGACGGCTGTTATCCAGCGGCTTATGCAAGCACGCAGAGGCTCTATCCGTGTTACTAATGCCGGTATACCCACTCTTGGCGTTAGAACAGATGGTGGGAATGAAGAAGAAGACGATGATGACGATAGTGCCTTCTTATACAGCCGCTGGGCCCCTCCAAAAAGCGCTGCTAGATTTTTTCAACCTCTGTTACAACCCGTCAAAGCCGGCCTAGATCTACTTTCCAGTGGAGAGTTCGGCAGCACAGATCTGAGTCTGCGAAATTTGAGCGGGGAGAGGGCTTCACTCGCCAGAATTCTTCGAGAGCGAGAGCTGAGCAACAACCCCAGAACAAGAGAAGAACTCGGTCGCGTGCGTTTGTGCTTTGGCATTATGAGCATTAATTGATTACCCTTACAACAGACTTACATTCCGAACTCTCATGGAACGATTGTTGGGTTGTATGGGGCGAACGTGTATTCTGGACAGTTCTCTGCTGGTAACTCATCCTCATCTTCTTTATACGGTTCTGTGCGCTAATATACTGTGGAGATTCATCTTTTTTCTACACGTGCAGCCAAGGTGAGTGCTCTTTTGATCTGCGGAGCCGTAGCTGATCCAGACTAGATTTCATGCTTCACATATATGATACGACTGCCCCGCCGTCCGGCCAAATTCAACGTCCATCATTTCCGCAGCAACGGTACCGTCGATGGGGAATAGATGAGTCCGAAGAGCATCAGACCACGATGAAGACAGTGAAAAGTATGAGAGGAAATCCTGGGAGCTGGACTATCACGGATGTTGACCTAAGTCCGGATAATGAAAGGCAGGCCTCTTGACCCGCGTATGAATTTCGTGTCTAATCTCAACAATGTACAGAATGATTTATTCAAGCATTGTAACTACTGAACAATCAAGGCGCACATTATGCTAATCTCCCAGTAGACCTCAACGATATACATGGCTAGAACGCGAGATCCTACAGACGAGGAACAAATACCCCTTTACTTCCACGACAGGATAGGTCGTCGGTTGCGTACTGTTGGGGACGACGACGGAGGATTCAACATTTGGTCGTGTCGTTTTTCTGCCGACGGCACGGAAGTGGTCGCTGGCGCTGGGAACAAACAGGATGGAATTCTCTTCGGTCAGAACGGTTATCCATTCATATCGCCGTATTGAAGGTCTGAGTAGTCTACGATTTGAACGCCCAGCGTAGGGTTCTTAAGATCACCGCTCACGAGGACGATATCAACAGTTGCTGTTGGGCGGATACTGCTAGTGGGAATGTGCTGATTAGTGCATCTGATGACACCTTCGTCAAGGTTTGGTAAGTTTTCGCGTTGCAATAGTCTCCCGTGTCACGGCTGACCTTGGGCAGGGACCGACGATCCCTTAGTGGTGGAAAGCCTTCAGGAGTGCTGGTCGGCCACACCGAAGGCATTACGAATGTTGCTCCTAAGGGCGACGGGCGATATGTTATTTCAAATGGTAAAGACCAGGGATTACGCCTTTGGGATCTACGCAAAATGCGTAGCAGCCAAGAATTTGAAGAAATGTCTCGAACGCATTATGGAATACCGGAGTGGGATTACAGGTGATGCTACTCGGTTCAGCGCTGCGGGCATCCTTGCTGAATATGACCGTATCTCCCCGTTCTCTTTCCAGGAGTGGTGTATATCGCACACCTCGTTACCTCGCCCATCCCAAAGATTGCAGTGTCATGACTTTCAGAGGGCATACTGTACTGCGCACTCTCATACGGTGCCACTTCAGTCCCGCCGCGACCACTGGGTCATCGTATGTTTACTCAGGCTCGGCTGATGGGAAGATACATGTTCGTTGTTCAATCAATCGAGTCAATCAGTATTAACATCTCCCTAGATTTGGAGCCTGGATGGTAGAATTGTTCAAGTCTTGGACCGCGCCAAAGCATTGCCTATCAGCTTTGATGCGTCAAGCGAGGCACCACCACTTACTTCCCGCCGCAGTCAGAGTGGTGTCATCGTTCGAGATGTGAGCTGGCATACTTCGGAGCCAGTCCTTATGTCGAGCGCATGGGCGGGATCCCGGATGGCCAGCAGTGTGGCTCGGCATGAGTGGAAGGGCTTCGGTCGGAATGGGATGACCCTGGAAGATGTTGTCGAGAAAGAGGCAATGGAATCCACTGAGCGCACGATGCCTGGTGCCTTCACTTCAGCTGTGCGTGATGTGTATTAAGTGCTTTTGTTATGTTGTAACTTTTACGGGGTAATTGTACTGGAGGTATGCCCATGCTTGTAGAATTCAAAGTGCCAGTAGGGCCCTGCCTCACTGCTTTCGATTGCACCGCATTACGCACTGGAGCATCGCCGACCTCACTTGCTAAGACGCGGCCTCACCATACAACGGACCCTTAGCCACCGTCGCCGTCGAACCTGTCCCAAAATGCTGTTCTGCTCAGTCTCACTCTCTCTGCGCAATAAAACACGTACGCTCTCTAGTTCTACCCTGCTCCCACCACAAAAACAAGTCCTTCATTCCGATCTCTTCCTTGCTCCTCCGTAATGTGCTTACGGCCTGCGACCCCCGGCTTCCTCATAACTGTTGCAGCAACTGTCTGTCTCGTCGTTGTCTCCTTCTCCGTCCCGTGGTTCAAGACGGTCTACTTCCTCAAAGTTAGCCTCGTTGCGGAGAATGTCAGCGGTGACGTGACGTTTGGGACACTCGGCTATTGCTTGGATCTTCCAGGCAACAGCACCTGTTCCTCGCCGAAGGTTGGGTACCAATTCGGTGTGTCCGAATGTTAACATACACATCCCGATGATATCCTAATCTTGATCCGTATTCAGACCCCAATCAGCTCAACCAACTTTTGGGTCTCACCGGGCCGATTCAGATTCCAAGCCTGTTTGTTACCTGGCTGACGTATCCTCTCGTTCTCCACATAGTGGGCCTTATTCTTGCCGCCATATCAGCAGTCTTTGGCCTCCTGGCGCACGTGAGAGAGATGTCAATGACATGCTTCTCTACATGCTTTTCTGGTACATCCAATCACTGATTATAGGGGTATCAGTACTGATTGGTAACAGGCTTTGCAGCAACCATTGTGCTTATTGCGTTTATCTTCGATCTTGTTATCTTCTTCTTGGCTCGCTCACGGCTCAACAGCGTGTCTGGCGGCGCTGCGTCCATCGGCAATGCAATGTGGTTAACCCTTGCTGCTTGGCTGCTCTTGTTCTTTGCCGGGTGTGCTTTCGGTTTTGGGCGCTGCTGCATATCCCGGCGATCTCCCTCAAGTTCAAAGTATGGACAGGATCCAGACCAGTCGTACAGCCAGGCCATGCGTCTCGATGCTATCAAAGCGGAATCCGATCGGACTGCGCGACAACAAACAGAAGTCGGTCTTCCGGCATTCCCCGCGGTTCAGGATGTGGAGACTCGGCCCCTTGCTGCGGTGAAGCAAGAGCCCGAGTACATGTACATGAAGGAAGAAGACGCTGAGACATCTACCTCGCACGATCGATATCGTGATCGTACACCTTCCCCTGGGCGTTACCAGAGCACATCAGATTTGGCAGCTGGAACCCCATTACAATCTCAAAACGCACCTTACCAGCCGATATTCCGACCCTTGGGCTCCGCAAATTCCCAGTCGTATGCCCCTCTCGGTGCCCAAACCTCCGAGGAAATGATATACGTGGCCGGGAGGCCAAGATCTCCATCTGACAGGGATGGACAGAACTTTTACTCTGGCCACTCCTCCCAGGGTATGTCTCTCCATTCGTGAGTCATGTTTATTGTAAGCTTACTTTCTTCCAGGGCTCGATTTTAATCAACCCAACGTATATTCGTCCAATCCATCCGACCATCTCGACACTGTGTCTCCTCAGAGCATGCATAACGCATCACAACAAATGCCTAACAATGCACCCTATGCAACGGGAACGGCTGCGAGGACTTATATGTATCCCACATATTTGCCAGGCGGGACTGCTGCCGGATACATGCCGCAGACCCCGAACACGTCCATCACTCCGTACCAACCCGCACTCCCCAACAATCCGCACAATACTATGGGACTCTACCCCGACCCTCAAGAAGCAGGAGTGTATGACCACGCGAGCGCGTCCCAAAGTCAAGATCCCGCTGTAAAGCAGCCACAGGCAGGAGCTCTGACATATGGAGATGAGAAGGCAGGGTATCAATCCCTCCTGTATCACAATCCAGGACAGCAACCACGAACAGAACAGCTGCGAACGTATCAGATTGGAGATGACTATCAATCGCCGTATCTGCCGCTTCCTGGGCCGGCGCCCCAGCAGAGGGACAACTATGCTGCATTCCCCAACGATGCGCAACCGCATTTTTCTGCTGACAGTTCGCTTTCTCCACCTCATCAAGCGTCTCCACCATTAAGTGCCGCCTACTTGCGCCGATGAAGTGCCCTTGATATGTTCTGAAGTGAAGGCCGTTTAGTATATGTTGTATCTCTAGTTTTCACCTTCAATTCGCTGTGTACCTGTCAGTCGATTAGACAGTTTTGAAGTTTCTGTCTGTGGCACAGAACCGGCACATGCGGCAGTACGACAGCTCAGTGTTTGTCCGCGGGGATGTCACAGTTTGAGGGAAACTCTAGCACGTAAACATTGTTGAGCAGGGAGGGGATACGCGAGATGGTCATACACAGTGCATCTCGCTTTCATTACATAACAGATGACAAACAGGCCAAAAGTGGTTTGTTAAGCGGCATGGAAATCCATTCTACAGCTTGTCGTAGTACCTGTTACTCGTCATTAGTAAACATTTTCGGGATATTCAAGGGCAAGCCACAAACATGTCCAGAGTGGGAATGTCAGGCTTCAAACCCTTCCTCGTGCGAATGGACTTCACCAGCTCCTCTATCTTAGATCCCTTGTCCAGAGGAGCTACATTCCAAAGTCAACAGATCATTCTGTTCAGGTATTCATGAGTGCTTACAGCCACTCATTAGTTCCCAATGGTCGAACACGCTCTGTGGGAAAGCCTGTCCCGAGGTAGCCTGACGGAGGTCGGCGTTAAACCCGAAGGACTCCATCACAGGCAGGTATGCCTTGACCGTAAACATCGGCGTACCCGGCCGCTGCTCCTCAGAAAAGACTTGGCCACGACGCCTGTTAAGCACGGAATAGATTCCACCAATCCCGTTCTCTGGACATTGAATTTCGACTGCAGAAGCGGTTCAGTACCTTCAAGAATTAGAGCTTGTGTGCATACCGAGATAAACGGGCTCTTGCAACCCAGGTTGGGCAAGCAAGCACGCAGCGTATGTCACCCTGCGGCAAGTAGGAATGATTTGCCCACCCCCACGATGGATTGCATCTGTATGCAACTTTTTGAACATGAGCATCCGTCCGCATCACCAAAGCAACAACGCATACAGTGACATCAAGAATGTTCACACGGACACCACGCATCTTTTCTTCCGCACAAACACCTTCCTTGGTCGCCCACTGGAAGGCGGCAACACAAGAATCCTTGATCTCGTTGAGATACTGGACACCTTTGGTGACATCGACCAGCAGATTAGGACCAGTGGTGTCAGGACCGAAACACCAGATCTTGCGTGCGTCGGTTACATCCCAACCATATTCATCGGCCAGGACCCGAGCGCGAATTTTGAAATCGTCGCGTGGGGTGATCTTGCCGCTCTCGATGTCCTTGGATAGTTCCTCCTCAAGAGGAGAGGCTTTAGCATACAGACGGTTATGCTTGTTCTGAGACTTGGACAGAGCAACCATGGATGATTCCGTCTGAACGGTCTCGCAATACCCGACGACCGGGTCGGACTTCTTGAGGGGCACACCAGCATGATCCTCTTCAAGATCCTTCAGGCAAATTTCCAGGTGAAGCTCACCCGCACCGGCAACAATGTGCTCGCCGGTCTCCTCAATCCAAGCCTGGACGCAAGGATCGGACTTCGTGAGACGCTTCAGACCTTCCACGAGCTTAGGAAGGTCGGCGGCATTCTTGACCTCAACAGCAACTCGAACAACGGGGGACACAGAGAACTTCATGACTTTCATGTTGTGCGCGGTTTCCGAACTGGTTAGAGTTCCAGACTTGAGCAGGAATTGGTCGACGCCAACAAGCCCAACAATGTTACCAGCCGGACAATCCTCAATGGGTTCGACATAACGACCCATCATCAGAACCGTACGTTGCACAGACTTGACGAAGAGATCATCCTTCTTCCCGGGAACATAGTTGGGCCCTTGGATACGGATCTTAGGGCCTGCCTTGACGGTACCGGAGAAGACACGGCCGAACGCGTAGAAACGCCCCTTATCAGAAGTTGGAACCATCTTGGAGACGTACAGAACAAGGGGAGCCTTAGGATCGCAGTCGCGGATGCCAATGGCAGATTCGTCGTCCATCGGACCTTCATACAGTGTCTCGACGCGATACCTCTGAGCGGTTTGCGGAGAAGGCAGGTGAATGACAATCATGTCCAAGAGGGAATCGCCGGCGGGGAGGAACTTGCGCATAGCAACCTTCAGCAAAGCCTTGCCTTCCAGATCTCTTTCATCGGGCAGAAGCTTCACATCGAGTTTTTCGAGCATGCTGAATAGCTGATCCTTCTGGAAGTCCATGGTAGCCTTAAAAATCTTGAAGATGGGGTCTAGGATAAACATATTGAAAGCGCGCTCTAAAGTCTTGCCATCGTCGGTAGTGCCCTTTGTTGTCCATTTCTTCGTAGCAGGGTTGAAGAAGTTGTCGCCCCATAACTTTGCCATCATCTTGTCTTTGTCAACACCGAACTTCTTGCTGTAGCGGGCAGCGAACTGGCGCAAAGTGAAAGCCCAACCATGTAGACCGGAGCCGAACGCAACGGTACCCTTCTCCGGTGCGACCTGAACATCGCCAAGTGCTTCGTCGTTGTAGGTAGCAATGATAACGTTCACGGATTCGATAGTACGAGAGAAAGACTGGAACAGGTCCTCCTTGGACACTTGCAGCTCGAGAAGGGCTCGGTCAACCTTGTTGATGATAACGACAGGCTTGATTCGTTCGGTCAAAGCTTGACGCAAGACGGTCTCTGTCTGTACGCAAACCCCCTCGACGCAGTCGACGACGACCAGCGCACCATCGGTGACACGAAGAGCAGCTGTGACCTCGGACGAGAAGTCGACGTGACCGGGAGAATCAATCAGGTTAATCAAGAACTCGTTACCTTACAAGACAGTGAGCAATAACGCGCTATTCTGAATAATGTTGACACACCATCGGTTTTTTGCTTGATCGCCGATACTTCCTCTTTGTCCACCTCGAAGTACATGGAAATGGCCGTCGACTTGATTGTGATGCCACGCTCTTTCTCGTCGTCTCTTGTATCCGTGAAGCGCACATCACCGGCGTTCTTGGCGGCAATGATGCCGGCCTTTGAAACCAGAGAGTCCGTCAGCGTGGACTTACCGTGGTCGACTGGTTCTTGGTCAGAATGATCGATACGACGAAGTCGAAGACTTACCATGAGCAATGACACTCATGTTTCGGATGTTGGTGGGCTTGTCCATAAGGGCCCGGATCTGGTCTTTACTAGTTGTTAGATTGACGAGGTAGGTCCGTACATCCGCACTTCTTACCTACGGTGAAGTTCCTGAGTTACCAGGTGTTCAGTTAGCAACGATGTCGAACATGGAAATAGTGCAAAGGAATTGTTATTGCACTGCCAAAACAGACTTACACCATGATAGCTGAATATGAAGGGTGCTGAGGATACTGGGTTTTGGAAATCGACAGGCGCGCTGGAGATGAAGAGTGCGCGAGGTGGGGAGGGTTTTTATGTTAGCAAGCGAGTGAAGTCTTTCAGCCCCGGTGGGTCTCCCTTTGATCCCGCTCGCACCATTCCAATTCAGCCAGACCCCTCCCCGCCAACATGCAACATTAACATTGTTGCCTCCACTATACTATACAAATCGTCACCACAAGGTTGTGCGTACGAAGCACATTTCTGTCCGTCCCTCCATCCGTATGATCGCCATGCATCTCCGGATCCTTATTTTAACCAATATCTATGATTGCTTTGTTTCTACCTTTTTCCCCAGGCCATGCTCGCAGTTAGTAGTCAAATACAATAGTTTGAAAATTTGGGAATACAAGCTCGTCTACAATGAGATTGCGTATTGCATCCTGGATAAATCGCTCTACTCGTGAAACGTTCTTGAGGGCGTGTTTATCGGCATCTCCGATTTCAGATTCGATAACTATCTGAGGCAACATCCTCATGCCCACAGGGGGAGGTTTCTCCGGGGTGGGGAGAGCACCTAAATGCTCCGCGGAGGGACTAGGATGCATCATTGAAGGGTCTGATTCTTCGACCAAGCAGAAATGCAATCTTCGTTTGCCCATCATGGAGTCAAATGCAATGATAACTTCGGCATTTAGCTGCATGCTGGTGAGGTGAAGTTTAATAGGGAGCGACAAAAAGAGAGGCGAGGGATAATTAATCAGCAGGGAAGTTGTCATTGTCAGTCGCAAGTCCGAGTGGTACGCCAGATGGAAGTGCAGTTGGAGAGGTGGCCACAACGAGGACGGGGATGCCGCTTCCTTCCTTTCGAGATCTGATGTCCAGTCGGCCTTCGGAGAAGGCGGTGGCGGGGCACCAAACTCGTCCGGTCCTTGACGAACATGAAAGGGCAAGTGTTGGTACCGAGCGTCCAATTGTTTGGGAGAAAGGCGCTCCATTGTGGTTTCCGGAAATTCATCATTTTGCAGAAACTCCGGGTTCACGTCCTTCACGTCGATGAGCTCCATATTTGGGGCCATGGTCCCGAAATCCAACGAAGTGACAGATATCGGACCGATGAAGTCAGGACGGGGCATCCCAGCCAAGTAATTATTGAGAATAGTCAGGACAGAGTCTGCCAGATTGACATCTAGCTTCGACCAGTCAAGATCAACCGACATATTGAGAATGGGATGTGAAAGTGATATGTTGTTCAATGTAGATCGTCAAAGTCGGCAGCGCGCTGGAGGGAACTAGTCATCAGCGTCAGATTGGTGTTCCACATACAAAACGACGAACTCATGCGGACATTTGTATGATCAGGACCGAACAAGTGCTGGGATGTGAACAGTCTCCAGGATCATCTCCATACCAGTGGCGGGGAATGTGTAAGATAGGTTGCGGACCAAGGCACGACAGGTCAAGATGTATTGCCCTTGGTCTAGATGAAGCCGGTCGTGAAGGAAGAGTTGAGTGAGCATGCCAAACGGTCCCGTCCCGGCCGGCCGTGCCGTGTGCACAAGGGCCCACATCCGCCATCGTGGTTACACCCCTTAGATCCATCCAGGCGTACCATCCATCCCTTACTCAACTTCGCCCCCTCATCCTGCTATTATCCTCCGATCCCACCATCTTGCGCACTTCTCTCTCTCTCTCCGATACGGCCCTTTATATATAGAATACGGCCCATCACTCCATTTCTCTGTCTGCCTTCCCTTTCAGGGTGAGGCCTATTCTCCCTCGGCTATTCACGCAGCCGTGCGCCCATCACGCGTGTCGCTCACATCGCCCAACAGCCCGTCTGTTTTACATTTCTCAAGCCACCACCGCTGTCCTTTCCCCTCTGGAGTAGATGCAGGCCATCAAGTGTGCGTGTTTAAGCTCGAGTCCCGTGTGCCAACCCGTGTAATATATAATATTCAGGTGTCGTTGTCGGTGATGGTGCTGTGGGAAAGGTCAGAGAATGAGACCCTATCTGACCATGTAACACCCTCCTCACCTCCACCGCCAGACATGCCTCTTGATATCGTACACAACCAACGCTTTCCCTGGTGAATATATCCCAACAGGTACTGCTGTTCTGTAGATGCATAACCGGAAATGCTGATTCCCCCCAGTCTTCGATAATTACTCTGCGAACGTCATGGTGGACGGCAAGACAATCTCCCTGGGATTGTGGGATACCGCTGGCCAGGAGGACTATGATCGTCTACGACCACTGTCATACCCCCAAACTGACGTTTTCATCATCTGTTTTTCTCTTGTCAGTCCCCCCAGTTTCGAAAACGTGAGAACGAAGGTGGGCCGCCTCTCTCGTCCTCTGCTGCATGTGTAAACATCGTCCAGTGGTATCCGGAAATATCACATCACGCGCCGGGTACTTCTATATTACTGGTTGGCACCAAGCTAGATTTGCGGGAAGATGCGGCAACGGTCAACAAATTGCGGGACAGGTGCGTACATGCGTTTCCAGCAGGATCCTATCCTTATAGCATGTCAGGCGAATGGCTCCAATCACTTATCCTCAGGGTGTGGCGATGGCCAAGGACATTGGTGCTGTGAAGTACCTGGAGTGCTCCGCGCTGACGCAGAAGGGGCTCAAGAACGTCTTTGATGAAGCTATTAGGGCAGTCTGTATGTCATATCATTATTCCCTCTCGCCGCCCGTGCTGATGACCACACAGTGTCCCCTCCCGTTCGCAAGCCTACCAAGAAGTCCCCCGCATGCGTTATTTGCTGATTCTCATAAAGTATAATGTGTTCTGGTTATCGTCTCACGATTCTTACGTCTGCATGTAAATGGCATTATTGGCCTACTTATGCATTGGCTACTCCACGGTTTGTTCGATGCATCCCCTCGCCCCAGGTTTAGCTCGCATATGATACAGCTCACGACTACTCCGAAACATATCTTCCACTCATTTCCACAGTATGGGTCAAGGGATTCAAATAAGAGTTGTGGAGGTACAGAGCAGCACATCAACTATAACTACTCCTGTGAGAGCGCCTCGGCGACTTTGCGACGATATAGAACCTCCGCTTCTTTCCAAATTTTGGCTTCACTTTTTGTTGGGAGCTGTTTCAGCGAGGGAAGTAAATCCCGGCTGAACTGCTCGCTTGCCTCGCGAGGTAACAAGGTAGGGAGATGGTCTATAGAGCACACTTGTAGAGGAGGGTTTCCCTCGCTGGATAGGTTAATGAGGTTGCAAACTCTACCGAGGACGTGGATGTGGTGGAGCTTACCCCATAGGTACCAGGAGAATTGGATCGCGGAAGTTTGTGTTCACGGAGTAAACCGGCAGTGGATTGTTGGGGTTCGTCGTGTCGCAGCTGACGTCCACGACGCACGCAAGTCGACGGTTGGGACCAGCAGCGGAAATCTGATCTGCCGTGATGAAGGCTGGGATCTTGGATGACAGGTAAATGCAGTTAACAAAAATGTCGACTGGCTTGGCTTTAGCACCGATACTGTAGCATGATGGATGATTTCGCTCACCATCAAGAATCTCGTCGAAAGGACCGCCTTTCGCAGTTTCCGCTATATCCCACTTCAATATGTTTCCGCTAGGCACGTGAATTAACTTGATCCGATCTTGAAGGGAGAAATCTCACTCTGGAATTCCTACAGCCTTGAAAAGATCGACCGCTCCCCTTCCACAGCGCCCCAAGGCTCCCATTACCATAACTCTTGGCGGATTCCCCGCAATAGCGTTCTTGACAGCGGTGATCATTTCGGCTTCGGTTTCGTAAGGCTCCAGATTATGGATCCTCCCCTGCTTACTCCAGCTAAAGACACCAACTGCAGCGCCAGCGAAACCAGCATGGTAACCAAATGCAGCAACGCGCCTGCCATTCTCATCCTGGAGGAACTCGAGATCATATAACATTCCCTTCCCTTTGTGAAAACGCATCAATACTTCGCGCCATCCGCCCTGGTGCTTGTAACAGTGAGCGAACTGGATGTGTGTGTGCTTCAGCGGCATGGTGGAAATTGGAAGTTCCTTGAGACCAATGATGGGCGTATCAACTGGGGCCTCTGGCCAGGACGAGTGCTTGGCCAAGGTGCATCCAACCCTTCGAATGTCACTTTTAAAGGGTAGCTGGGGAGAGAGGATGTTCGTGACCCACGTTTCGTACTCCTCGTCGTCAAATATACGTTGGGGGTCTCTCTCAACTGTAATGGTGAACCCATCCTTGATGAGCTCACGCGCGGTACTCGGTGTCAGAGCAGCCCGGCGCTCGAAAGGTTTAGTCTCGCATCTGAGCCAGAGGGGTTGACGACTTTGAGGAGACATTATGCGGACAAGTTGAAGGCAAAATGCAGACACTGACTCCGACCGGAAACCGCTACAATTTTACCCCGGAACGGTCCGACCGCCACTGCTCCCTGACTCTGACGTACTCCAGCTCTCCTGGAATTTACATGACTCTGGTCGCATCTAGCCGCCTTACTGCCACTAATATCATTAGTATTCAACAACTCTGGTTTGGTGTTATCCTTCTCTTAGAAGGCGGAAATGCGACAGCGACACTGCTGCTGGTCTGCAGAGTGTTGTGCAATCGGTATTTGGAGACACCTATCCTCGATCGACTGTCTCTGTCTGACGAACAGCCTGGTTTCAACACCACGCATTCCTGCTCTACTAGCCAAGTCTCAACACCATGCATTCCTACTAGCACTCGAGTAAACAACGACGCGATCGATCGCATTTGCCCCTGTCAACATTTGCCCAAATACCCACCCCCTCTATTCGTGGTTCCCCCCATCTCTCCTTCCTACTACCATCCCCTCCTCTTCCCTCCCGCTTCCCTCCTTCTTCCCTCCCCTCTCCCTCCCCTTTTTCCTTGTATCCGTCTCTCTTCTCTTCTCTCCTTGGTCTGACCAGTCGCGCAGTGCTTCAAATGCCTGTTCACTCGCTTAAGGCGACATCTGACAGCGAGGTCACCTTGCTGCCAACCAATATACATGGTACGCACATAGTCGTTCTATTTACCCTTTCCTCGTGCTCTTTCACTTCAACTTACTTCCTTACCATTACCATCAGCAACAACTACAACATCCCCTTTATCTCCTTTGCCTTCACCTGGTTCAGTCCCTCCGCTCACATCTCCCGCACCTCGAGTACTACTGACACAAAGATCCAGGCATAGTCTCACAACAGGCCTCACTCTTCCTACGCGATCCTTTGACAACTTCAGCAACCTCTTCTTCCTCGTCGTGCATGGCGCCTCTCTCGCTGGCATACCGACATCACCATCGTCATCAGCAACAACTACTACTACCCCTTCATCTCCCTTGCCTTCGTCTGGTTCAGTTTCACCGCCTTCTCACATCACATCTCCCGCACCTCGAGTACTACTGATAGAAAGATCCAGGCAGAGTCTCATACCAGGCCTCACTTTTCCTGCACGATCCATTGATAACTCAGAAACCTCCTCTTCCTCGTCATGCATGACGCCTCCATCGCTGGCACACCGACATCGACCATCTGCTAAATAATCTCGGTGCGTCCCTACCCTCTGCTCCACCGAGGCTGATGCACTTGCTCGGTGGCAGATATTCTTCACGAGAGACAGAATTGACCCATCCTTGGTACTGCCCAATTCCAACGAGGTCGTGGCTTCATTTTCAGGAGCACGTGCTGAGCTTGGTACAGTCCAACATGTTCATCACACCCTTCGTTGTGATAGGCCTCTTCTTGTGCGGTGGGTGTTCCTTCACCCTCGCTTTCCGTGCTCACTCTAGCAGCCAGGAGCTTCTAGGTTTACACATTCGCGCCAGCTCTTCCCTCATCGCCTTCTTTATAGCTCCTAATTTGACGCTTACGACATCCTCAGCCCACACCCTCCTCCAACGTCGACTTCACCATCATCATCAGCAACAGCAACTACAACGTCTCCTTTATCTCCTTTACCTTCACCTGGTTCAGTTCCACCGCTCACATCTTCCGCACCTCGAGCACTACTGATACAAAGATCCAGGCATAGTCTCACACCAGGCCTCACTCTTACTACGCGATCCATTAACAACTTCAGCAACCTCTTCTTCCTCGTCATGCATGGCGCCTCTCTCGCTGGCATACCGACAACGACTATCTGCTAACTAATCCTGGTGCGTCCATATCCTCTGCTCGACCGAGGCTGATGCACTTGCTCGATGGCAGATATTCTTCACGGGAGACAGAACTGACGAACACCCATCCTTGGTACTTCCCACTGCCAACGAGGTGCGTGGCTTCATTTTTTGGAGCACATGTTGAACTTGCCATCGTCCAACATGTTCATCACACCCTTCCTTGTGATAGGCCTCTTCTTGTGCGGTGGGTGTTCCTTCATTCTCCCTTTCCGTGCTCACTCTAGCAGCCAGGAGCTTCTAGGTTTGCACATTCGCGCCACATCTTGCCCTCATCGCTTCTCTACAGTTTCTAACTTGACACTTACGACATCCTCTGCCCACACCCACCTCCAACGTCGACTTCGCCCCGCCCCATCTCCCCGCCCGACATGACCCGTCCTGTCCCCCTCAGGCGTCCTTACTGCAAGTACCTCACCGTCGAAGGAAGGTACGTCATCCTGTCTATAGGTCCCAGCTCGAGGCCTATAACAACTTCATCTCTCACGAGTCTTCTTTAGTACTAGCTGTGATTTGGGATGCACGATCTCTACCGATCCCTGCCTCAGCTCCCAGGAAAGATACGTCAACGCCTTCAACTGCCCTTTGCATTTAATGCCTGATTCTTGCAGGATCATAGTGCGCAATGTACAAGCATTGGTCGGAAACCCTTGCTGCCCTCAAGAAAAGACCAGACTTGCTCGTCTTCGTTAGGCATATTGGGGTGCGCATACGGATGAGGTGAGTTGTACTCGGTCAATCAGCGCTCGACTGATACCCCCCAGTATGCGATCGCCATCCACGCAGCCCGTTCCAGTAGCCTCTTCTCCCTCATGACATGTAAGGTCTCTCTCGCTGCGCATCCGGACATCGACCATCTGCTAACCAATCCAGATACGTCTCTCACCCCTTGCTCGTCCCAGGCTAATACACCTGCGCCGTGTTAGGTACCCTACACCATAGTACGGCACTGACGGACGTTTCATCCTTGGGGTACGCCAGTCGTAATTGCAAAAGGCGTATGCTGAGCTTTTGATAGTCCGACACGTTCCTCAGTCCTCCCTACGTGACATACTTACTTTTCAAGGTGAGCGTTCCTTTATACTGATGCGCCGTTGCTGACTCTGGTAGCCAGGAGCTGTATCGGTTTATAATAACCCTTTTGAAGATCTTGATTACGCCGTTTATAGATCCCAGCTCGACACTCACGACATCACCATCCTATGTTGACGTGCTCCAACATCGACCCGCTCTGCCCGACATCTGTTCGATCTCGAAAACATGAGGTCCGTCCTCTACATCTATTTGCTGCTTGCGCCTGATATACACTAGGGATGATATCAAGCAATGGTCTTTTCGAGCCAGCAACATACGAATATGAGATTCAGCATCCAGTGACTTGATGGCCTTGCTAAAAGTAAGCCACAAGATCAGTCTCGCTTACGGGACGCCCTTCCTCATTCGGGGGAGGAAACGAAAATATCTCAGACGACTAACAGGCGGTGACGTGTATGCAGTCACATGAATCAAGACGTGAGCTGCTCTCATTACCCTCGCTCTTCCTGCTGTGTTGACGATGCCCGATATACGAAAGCGACATTAATGAAACACTACGCAACTACATCCGAATCCTCGATATATCCACACGACATTTACAGCTCCCCCGCTCCTTTCATCACCTCGGGCACGCCAATGAATGTCGTCTTCCCTTGTCGTCCCTGACGACGTCAACAATTCACGAGAACGTATTCCAACCATATAAACCATCTAAGCACCAATCAAAACAACTTGACTCAAGACGAGCTCTCGATCTTCACTCGCGGTCGAGGCCACATGAACTTTCTGTTCACTTCACGGACACCCATGGTTTGTCCCTCTCTCCCTCCCTCATACATACCACACCCCGTCACTTCCCTCCCTTGCCTATTTCGCCTCCCACATCTTCTCTATTTATTCTTTGACACTAATAGTAATGTTTTATAGGGTATTGCTAATGGACCAGAGAACAACTCGCGAAGCAGGCGAACTTAAAGCCAACTCGTCGAATTGTTACGTCATCACTATGGAATCCGGTGCGTGTGTTACCCTTCTGCTCGAGTACATTTGATTGGTCGCCTAACCCAGGGAATCCTTATAATCGTCCTGGTTTCACGTACTTCTCGCCCTCCGAAATGCCGAATATGTAGAAGGTACGTGAGCTCCCCTTTGGAACGTATGTGCTGATCTGGTTGCAGTTCTCTTGCGGGCCCTGTATACCTGTGCTTACACTTTAAGCGAGTATTTGTCCACGGGCGCGTTTTGTACAGAGCCACGCAGCCATGAGCTGTATCAGTATATCCATGTGAGCTATCCATTGCGTGAGAGGTAGACTACTCACTCTTTTGGCAGATATGGACTCCCTCGATACTCACGAGAACTTATTCCGCCCTGGTTCCACCATAGTCACCCATCTTCACTTCGCCCTCACTTCGCCCAACATGATCCCCTTCACTTCATCCCCCTCGGTTCCTCATATCCCACCACACAAATGGACGGCGTTCACAGGCTTCGGTATCTTTCAACGTTACCAAGGATCCAATCGGAGCCCCCATCAAGTATGTTCTTATCCTCATTCTGAATATCACTGAGATTTGAGCAGGATCTTCCGCGCAAGTCCCAGAAGGACCTTGACACTGAACATGGTGTGCAGCGCACGAAGCATCATAGCGCGACCTCTACAACTCCCTCCATCCTTTCATCACCAGCATGCGCATGAACGTCGTCTTCCCTTGCCGAGTCCCCTCCCTGACCTGGTAAACGTTTCAGGAGAACACATTCCAACCAAATCAACCATCTAAGCACCACTCAAAACCCTGTTCAAGACGAGCTCTTGATCTTCGCTCGCGCTCGAGGCCACATGAACTTTCTGTTCACTTCATGGACACATAGTTTGTCCATCTCTCCATCCCTCATACCACACCCTGTCACTGCCTATTTCGCCTCCCGCATATTCTTCACCATTAATAGTAATCTTTTGTAGGGATTGCTAATGAAGTACAGCAAAACTCGCGAAGTAGCCCAACTTCAAAGCCAACTCGTCGACTTCTCCTTCGCGACGCACATGGAGTCCCCCGCCTCAGATCAACCTCTCAATGTCCTCCTTATGGATTTCGGTGCGCTTCTTACCCTTCTGCTTGAGTACATTTGATTGATCGTCTACCCCAGGGAATTCTGATAACCGTCCTGGTTCCGCGCACGTCTGGCCCTCCGAAGCGCCGAATATGTAGAATGTACGTGATCTATCCTTTGGGACGTATGCACTGATCTCATTGCAGTCGGCCAAACTTTCCCTGCGGGTCCTGTAGTCTGTGACTGCATCTTAAAAGTGAGTATTTGTCCGCAGGCGCGTTTTGTTCTGAGTCTCATAGCCATGAGCTGCATCAGTGTATCCATGTGAGCTATCCATTACGTGAGAGGTAGTCTACTCACTCTTTTGGCAGACATGGGCTCCTTCGATACTCACGAGAACTTTTTACATCCCTAGTCCCACCATAGTCACCTCTGTCCACCTCGCCCTCACCCCGCCCAACACGATCCTCTTCACTCCATCCCCCTCGGTTCCTCATACCCCACCACCTGACTGGACGGCGTTCACAGACTTTAGTATCCAATCGGAGCCCCTATCAAGTATGTGCTCATCCTCCAACTGAATATCACTGAGATTTGAGCAGGATCTTACACCCACATCCGAGGAAGACTTTGACACCGACCATAGTATGCAGCGCACCAATCACCATATAGCTTTGTAGAAGAAATGGAATGTATACAATATGCATGGTTTTCTGTACAAGATGAGTATATAGACAAGTGAGCATCCTTCCATCGTTCACATAGATGTTGAGTCAGTTTAGGGTGCAACTTCCGAACAGCAACGTGGCTTATACCTGATTTGACTTGTGGCCTTTCGACGGCATTCGGTTCGCCCCCTCTTCCCCC